TGGAGGCTGGTCACAGTGGCCTCACCCCTGGTACACCAGCTGGAGATGATGCCAATCTGAGGGCCCACGAGTGCACAAGTCACTCTGCATCACTGGCTGTGCACATTTGGCTGATAAATGACGCTCCCTTTAACGGACACAAGTGTCAAGGTCTTGCTGGAGCGTGTGACAAGGTCTGGCCTAAGGGACAGGTGGGTGGATTTAAAAAAGAAACTTAAGAGTTGTTGGTAGTTTTCGGATCCTGACTGAAAACGACCGAAGCAACCGAATCTTCCAGATAGTCAGTACCTCGCCCACTTACCAGTAGGGTAAGTGGTGAGCTATTTCACCACCCTCACACGAGAGTAGTGTGAGCTATTTCTGTGACACATCGTGTTAATCCCAGAACACGCAGATGATTGGTCACAGACTTTATTAGGAGATAGGAAAGACAATCAGTGAAACCCTTCAGAGACATTTTGACCTCGGGAAGAAGTTGACGGTCCATTGCTGCCCCGAGAGAAATATTCTAGTGGATAACTATCTTCCAGAGTCACCAGAGATACTATGTTATACCACAGGACTAATAAATAACATTGATATTCACTTCATCATCTACTATATTAGGAGTACGAAAGTGTTACAAAATCTCCGCATTGAACAATGTTGGAGTGTTGTGAGCCACTAGGACACTATACACCTTGCAACCCGGTCTCGCACTTGCTTAGAGTCAATATTGGCTTATTTAATAAGTGCATATGTGACATACTAATTGATTGTGAATATTTTAGTTTACCTTGAAAAGCTTCATAGAAAACACCGACTTCACCTAACCTTCTTAGTATGTTAAGATAAGCATCTTATTGCTTCTTAATTACAATTATTACTTAACCTATCACCCTGTCAGAGGCCCAGTACCGGACATACACACACACTCTCCCAACACAGAAGCATTGTAGCTGATCTGTGTATATTCTGCGAGGGACCACAAAATTAACACACCCATTTAGCTTCTGTACAAGTCCCTCCTGAAGGGAGGAGGAGGTGTGACCTATGGCTACCAGATCGATGTCAACTTCGATGCTCATGTCACTCTCCAATACTCACGTCATGAGGACCATGTTGTCGTTGGGCCGATTGGGTTCCTCCTTCAGCAGTTTCTTTCGGTATTTCCTCATTTCCTCCAGGATGGCGTTGACACTTTTTCTTTCATTGATGTCGATCTCATTCCTGTCTCGCCACACCCGTATGTCCACCAGCACCACCACCACCCCTACACGGTTCATGAACTGTGGGCGAAGAGTTGCGCGTCAATATGTGTGTGTGTTGAGTGTGTGTGTGTGTGTGTGTGTGTGTGTGTGTGTGTGTGTGTGTGTGTGTGTTGAGGGTGTGTGTGTGTGTGTGTGTTGAGGTGTGTGTGTGTGTGTGTGTGTGTGTGTGTGTGTGTGTTGAGTGTGTATGTATGTGTGTGTGTGTGTGTGTGTGTGTGTGTGTGTGTGTGTGTGTGTGTGTGTGTTGAGGGTGTGTGTGTGAGTGAGAAAATTGTTGTGTGTCGTCCTCTCTCTCTCTCTCTCTCTCTCTCTCTCTCTCTCTCTCTCTCTCTCTCTCTCTCTCTCTCTCTCTCTCTCTCTCTCTCTCTCTCTCTCGGAGTAGGTTTCAACTTTGCTTCCCCAGGTTCCTTATTTGATAGTTCTCTATATGATAGTTTCAACCTACATTCTCATACAGGCGTCAGATGAGCTGAGACAGGATAACAGCTCTTGCTTGCTGTTTCACTAGGCACGTCATTTGACATCTCTTATGACCCATAGTCTTATTTAAAAAAAAGAGAGATAGAGAAAGAAAGACTCTCGTAAGCTTAACCTAGTCCAAAAGCTAGAGTTTAACATAACCAATAAGGCAGCCAGGAAACTAGCTGGTAAACCTTACATGAAGCACAAGTTCGCTCTCATTTAGAGTAGGAACCCCTTTCCTGGATCACCTCCCCCCCCCCACTCCCCCATCATTCATCAGACGTTTGGACAAAGTGGAGAGAGACGGGCAAGAAGGCTTATCTCTAATCTTGACCATGTCTGGCGGGAACGGTCTCAACATCAGCGCCTGTAACACCGCCGTGACGTTGGTGTCATAATGTTAATTATGTTATGTACAAGGCCAACATCCTCAAAGTTCCGCACCTGGCCCAACTCCATGGACTACCGATAGTTGGCACCCGTAGCACTAGACTCTCAACCTTCAACAGTCTCATGCAGGAACTGCCTTTCCCAAGAAGATCACTCCATGAGCGATCATTCACTCCGATGCTGACTCGCATCTGGAACTTGTTCGCTCAACACGTTGATACACGGGAGATCAGGTCAACTGATCACATGAAGACTCTGGCACACTGTTGGCTACAGGGTCATTCTGTTCCTTATATGACTGTTACATAATGATGTTAATGAATAAAGTATATTTTAATTGATGCATAACAGGTTCATGAAATAAATGGGTATCTAGGAGTAGGTTTCAACTGAGCTGAGGAAGAATTACAGCTCTTGTTTGCAGTTTCACCAGGTACAGCAGCACCATATGAGAAGTACAGTACCAGAATAGCAGAAAATAGAAGCGCTGGGGGCGCCCCCACGCCACCAGCGCTGTGATACACGGTACACCAGGCGCACCTTCGCCGGGCGCACCTTCACCAAACACACCTCAGACTAACAAAGATAATATCTATCTCAAACTAACATCAATTATTTCTGTTTTTTATTTGCCGATGGTGTCAGGTGGTTACCTCCAGAGTAACACAGATGGTGTCAGGCGGTTACCTCCAGAGTAACACAGATGGTGTCAGGCGGTTACCTCCAGAGTAACACAGATGGTGTCAGGCGGTTACCTCCAGAGTAACACAGATGGTGTCAGGCGGTTACCTCCAGAGTAACACAGATGGTGTCAGGCGGTTACCTCCAGAGTAACACAGATGGTGTCAGGCGGTTACCTCCAGAGTAACACAGATGGTGTCAGGTGGTTACCTCCAGAGTAACACAGATGGTGTCAGGCGGTTACCTCCAGAGTAACATAGATGGTGTCAGGCGGTTACCTCCAGAGTAACACAGATGGTGTCAGGCGGTTACCTCCAGAGTAACACAGATGGTGTCAGGCGGTTACCTCCAGAGTAACACAGATGGTGTCAGGCGGTTACCTCCAGAGTAACACAGATGGTGTCAGGCGGTTACCTCCAGAGTAACACAGATGGTGTCAGGCGGTTACCTCCAGAGTAACACAGATGGTGTCAGGCGGTTACCTCCAGAGTAACACAGATGGTGTCAGGCGGTTACCTCCAGAGTAACACAGATGGTGTCAGGCGGTTACCTCCAGAGTAACACAGATAGTGTCAGGCGGTTACCTCCAGAGTAACACAGATAGTGTCAGGCGGTTACTCACGGCATTGGCGGCGTTGACGACCTTCCTGACGCGGTCCTTGACGGCGGGGACGGTGCGGTAGTGACGGTACATCTCGCGGTCCGCCATCACCACCAGCTCCACGAAGAGCGTCCGCTTGTCCGTCCAGAGAGGCCCCTGCAGCACTCCCCGGCGACCCTGCGTCAGGGAAGATTTTGTATTATTGTCGCCGGAGGCTGCTAGTTTATTGTGCACCCCATACTCATCCTGTGAGCGGTAGCGCAAAAAGGATTACAGAGGGGCACAAAAGGTTTTTATCAGACCTCAACGGAGATTATTACATTAACAATTTCATCTATCCTTCCCACCTTATAGTTACAGTGTTAGCTTGTTACAGTGAATATTCTATTTCAGGAGCAAAATATTTACAGTAAATCATTATACATTAATGGTAGGTCTTAATTTCATATGTCGTTTATCTACTGGGCGCGAAATATGGATACAGTGCCAGGATTTCAGGTATTTATTAAGATGGTTTGCCATTTCATACAACGTGAGTTTAGAATTATCTCTAAATGGCTCAATTTTACCATAGTCCAAGACATAGTGTTCGAGTGTGTGTCCCTGTCTTTGTCCACACACTTTACACTTTACTTCATCTAGATTCCTATACAAGCCGAACTGCCAGAGATACTTGTAGCTAAGTCTTATACGAGCTGTGACAACATCTGTTAGTCTACTGACTTTGTTACTTGCCCCAAACACATGTTTTACTTCAAACATTTCTTGTGATAAACAATGGACCTGCTAGTTCCAGTTTGCACTGTTCTACTTTCTTCAAATCCATCCAGGAGTTCTTGTCTAATGACACTTTTAAGGGACCTATTTGATAACTCAAAATTCCGTTCAATACTGTCTTTATTTACCGCAACCTTAGCAAGGGCGTCAACTTTATCATGTTCCTGCAGGCCAATGTGAGAAGGAGTCCACAACATTTTTGTACTTACCCCCTTATTAAGTCTGCTCATATATCGGAGACATATATCGGAGATATGTCTGGTACCGGAGACACGCACGTTATTACTTGATTGCAAACTATTGCTAGTAGTGAGGAAAGAGATTCAGAAATAATTAAGCTGTCTACTTCAATGTTGTCAATACTGTAATTTCGAGTGCTACCAGTATTACTACCAACTCGGCTTGCATTGTGGATGCCCAGTTACTAATTCTTATATTCCTTTGAATTATGCTGCCATCGGGCTGATGAGCAACAACAGCACTTCCTGCCCTCCCTGTAGCTGTTTTGAGTGATCCGTCAGTGTATATGGTCTGTGTGTGACAGACCTTAGTTCCTGGGGTCAGGGGGGAACATTCCCCACCAGTCAGACAGCCTTCGAGGACGTCCCCTAATCCCCCCCCCCTATACACCTCCATGACTTCAAATGGACACTCCTCCAAGGACACCCCGTGACGTCATCAGGTGTACTCCCACACCAAGGACAACACCCTTATGTGTAATGGTGTACATCACTGCAAGCCTCCCCACCCTGGCGAGACCCCTCCCCTACCTCCCCTACACTCTCACCCCTGACAAGAATCTCCCTAATCACCCCCTAACATTCCCACCCTAGCAGGCACCCCCCCTCCCACTTCAACACCATTACCCCTCACCCTGGCAAGAGCCTCCCCCAACCACCTGGGGGGAAGTTGGGGTTCACCCTCACCCTGCCAGTCTCCCCTCCCCCTCCCCTGCAACTACCACTCACCCTACTTGACGGATGGCCGGGCCACGGGAGCATGTCAGGGTCGGTCAAGGGATGCGCCTCGTCCTTCCACAACAGATGACTTGATCCACGAGCTGTATACGAGTCTAGATCGTCCTGCGATACCTGTAGTGGTCCAGTAGCGGTCTCCTTCATCCTGGACACTGAAAAGTAAACACATTAGCGAAGCACAATTAATAAAAAAACTAAAATCAATAAATTAACGAATGAAATAGTGATAATCAAAGAAGATAATGTAGACTAAAAAAAAAATAGTGTACTCCATGAAATAAGCTAAAAGGTGACTTAAGCGAGAGAGAAGCAGGTGCTACAGTCATGGTATTCCTCACTATATGTGAGTAATATGTAAGTTCGTCCTCCTCACTATATGTGAGTAATATGTAAGTCCGTCCTCAGGCCAGGCTCGTTACACGAGCGGCCATCACCCCCCCCCCCCCTCTAGACGCGTTCATCCACTATAACATATACTATGTATTGAAAATAGGTTTGTTCTCATATATACAATACTATTATACACTAAAATTCAATGTCTAGTTAGGCGTGGGTTAGGTTAGGTGGTTTAGCTTCTGTTGGCGATTATTTGTGTTTGGCGTGCGTGAAGCACTTACATAATCAGATATTATGTTAGTAATATGAGATAATGTCAACATAACCATAATTCATAATGTAAACATAATTATAATTCATTATATCAACATAATCAGATATTATGTTTCCCACTCTGCTCTCCTCTCATTGTGTTACGCGCTAATATATCCCTATCTTACATACGATATCTCTGCATGGGGTTCAACCACTGTAAATTACCTTAAAGCTAACCATCACTCAGCAAAAATCTGCTATCAGAACTCTAACAAACTCTGTCTTCAGGCAAAACACAGTCCCTGTGTTTAAATCCCTAAACATGCTAAACATACACTCACTCCACACATTCTCATGTGCTATTTACATGTACAAAACCTTGTTCCTAAACGCAAATTCTGATCTGAAACTTTTCCTTCATAGATGTAATAAAACCCATGAGCACCACACCAGAAATAAATATCTCTTTGATATCCCCAGAGTCAAACTAAATCTTAGCAAACACTATGCAAATAAAAAGACCCCAGTCTATGGAACACACTCCCGGAAGAATTAAAAAATTATCTAACCTACGCCTTAATCAAAAGTAAAACCAAAAATCACCTAATTTCATCCTCATAGTTTCCTGCCTTGTCCTTCAAACTCGTACTGTATCTTGTACTTCCCACTTCCCCCAATGTTAGTACTTAAGACATGCAACTTCACCAGTGTAATAATTTCCATAAAGTTAAAAGTAGTTATGTTAAACTCAAATTTTACAAAGGCTTGTGATTGGAGCAGAGGATGTCAGCGAAGCACTGCTGGAGAAAAGAACATACAAGTCACCAGTTGTGAGTCGTGTGTAAACCTTTTCATTCATTAACACGGGGCTTGGAGGTTGGATTAATTAGCATTTGACCTCAGTTGATGAGGACGGGCTGCAACACCAGTCATTGTGTGCTCGAGGTCACCCCCTCAAATTTTGTATCCTAGAATAAGATAGAAAGAGAGAGAGAGAGAGAGAGAGAGAGAGAGAGAGAGAGAGAGAGAGAGAGAGAGAGAGAGAGAGAGAGAGAGAGTGAGAGAGAGATATGGAAAGACAGAGAAGGACGGAAATAAATGTATGCTAATAACATTAAAAATAAAGATAATAGTAATAATACAATTGAACATATAATAATAATATAAAATATTATCATAATCCCCGTTTTCTTCTGTCCTAGGGTGAACGGTATCAGGGTGTGAGGGGTACCAGGGTATTATAGTTACAGGGTATGAGGGTGTGAGGGGGTACTAAAGTGTAAGTCCAAGAATATGAGGGTACCAGGGTGTGAGGGACACCAGAGTGTGAGGCATCACACAGTTCACTACACCAAAATAAGAGTATAAATTGTTCACATTATTCCCTAGGGGACCCACCCAGCATCCTGAAGCATCAGATGAACTCATCTCCGCCATACTTGAGTGCATCATTAGCAACAGCACCTGAGAGCTTCATACACCTAGGTGGAGGGTTTCACACACCTAGATGGAGGGCTTCACACACCTAGATGGAGGGCTTCACACACCTAGATGGAGGGCTTCACACACCTAGATGGAGGGCTTCACACACCTAGATGGAGGGCTTCACACATCTAGATGGAGGGCTTCACACATCTAGATGGAGGGCTTCACACATCTAGATGGAGGGCTTCACACACCTAGATGGAGGGCTTCACACACCTAGATGGAGGGCTTCACACATCTAGATGGAGGGCTTCACACACCTAGATGGAGGGCTTCACACACCTAGATGGAGGGCTTCACACACCTAGATGGAGGGCTTCACACACCTAGATGGAGGGCTTCACACATCTAGATGGAGGGCTTCACACACCTAGATGGAGGGCTTCACACACCTAGATGGAGGGCTTCACACACCTAGATGGAGGGCTTCACACATCTAGATGGAGGGCTTCACACACCTAGATGGAGGGCTTCACACACCTAGATGGAGGGCTTCACACATCTAGATGGAGGGCTTCACACATCTAGATGGAGGGCTTCACACACCTAGATGGAGGGCTTCACACACCTAGATGGAGGGCTTCACACATCTAGATGGAGGGCTTCACACACCTAGATGGAGGGCTTCACACATCTAGATGGAGGGCTTCACACATCTAGATGGAGGGCTTCACACATCTAGATGGAGGGCTTCACACATCTAGATGGAGGGCTTCACACATCTAGATGGAGGGCTTCATACACCTAGGAGAAGGTGCACAAAATAAGGGAGAAATGGAAAGAGTGACGGCGCACGGAAGGAGAAGGAGTAGAAGGCATGGAGGAGTATAAAGTACTCCTTCATATGAGGGAGTACCTAAGCAACAGGAAACATTCGCCAGAGGTTTCGGGGAGGCGAGATGTTAATATCGACGTCCCTCAGCCCACAGGGATCACCTCCAAGACCTCTCTTGTGCCTGGTATATGTAAAGGCTCTTCCAGAAGGAGCAGCTAGGTCCTTCCTCTTAAAGTTTGCTGATGACCCACAACGTATGAGAAGGCTCAAGGCGGTGAAAGACTTCACACGTTACAAGATGAACTGGGCCAACTGAAGACATTATAAAACACATGAATAATACAGTTCTCAAGTATCTGCACGGAAATTAAGCTGGAGGGTGGGAACAAGAGAGTGAACACAAGGCGACAACTGAGCGGCGCGTCCTCCTTCCCAACGTCAAGAAAACGGTCAATTTAAAATGTCCTCTCCTGACCCAACAGACTAAGCCAGAGGACCTAAAACAGAAAACGGGAAAGTACGTCACTTTCGCGAGCCGCTTCTATTTTCTAGTACGACAACTTTTGGCCTTATGTAACGCATACGAGCGAAATGCGACGTTCTTTGTAAGAGGACAGGTTGAACTGGGGGCAGAAATTCTTCAGACATGAGGCAGCAAGACTATCTGGCACAAATCTGTGGTCTCCGTACGCTGCTGTAGACACGAGCCCGCCGGGGGGGGGGGGGGGGGGGGACACCTGCCATCTTGTGTAATGGTCCCTGCAAGAAAACTGTGCCGTATATTGCGCGGTGATGGTGTTGACCCGCGTCGCCAGGCGTAGAGAAGACACATAAATTTAAGACACATCAGAACTAAACATTTGAGGAAGGCGGAGCATGATTCTCCCTCACACATTCACCCCGGTAGCAACTTAGGGTACCAACTTACAAGGCCAAGTTGCCTTTGCTGAATGTGGCTGCGTATATTGGGCCGCGGACTGTCTCACTGGGCCCTCAGGGATCTTCTATGTCTCGCAAACCATAGAAGCAATACATGCGTACGAGAGGGAGGAAGAGGCCGTGTCAAACGGTCAATTTGGTCATCAGTATCAAGGCAACACCTCCACTAGTGACACAAGTTACTAGTGCCAAACAGAGTATTGACACAAGCAACACAAAAATCATCAAGAACTACAATATTCATCTCCCTTTGGAACACACCGAACACCTTCCTCAGGTCAAGTGGGGAGACGCAATAAAGAACCTAAGATTCTCCTCAAGAACAAATGCCATTGCCTCGAAGGAGAGCTACTCCGGATATTAGGTCAATAGAAATAAGATCATGCAAGGTAGAACGTTGCATTAGCAACCCGTCCTGCTGAGCGAGAACGTCAACGACGAAGTCTCAGAGAAGTTTGCAGTGAGTGAAAGAACTCGGTGTGGCTGTTGCAGTGGCGTACATGACACAATAGTTTCCTTGGAGAAGATCAGGCAAAGGGCAACAATTCCACTCTGATGTGTTTACCTTCAAAAGGTTTCCACAAAGGATATTTTTTTTCGGTGGTGTTCCTTGGATCCTGCCAGCTGGCGAAGTGTTCCTCCAGCTTCCAGATGGTACGTACGTGCTCTAACGAGGAACAGTGGCTGTGTATATATGAACGGTAGCTCACGCCCTGTGAAAGGTGCACAGCATGGAGCTCATCACTCTGTGAAAGGTGCACAGCATGGAGCTCAACACTGTCAAAGGTGCACAGCATGGAGCTCAACACTCTGTGAAAGGTGCACAGCATGGAGCTCAACACTGTCAAAGGTGCACAGCATGGAGCTCAACACCTCGTAAATGGTGTTGAGCACGGGATCCAACACGCACACAGCATGAGACTCACCGTCCTGTGAGTGGTGCACTTCACCCCTCCACCACATGAGAGGAGCCACAGACGCGGCTGCTGTGGCACAGACTACCTCTGGTGATAACACAGCGAGCAACCATTGGTCGGACACCTGTCCCAACCAGTGGCACGCCGAACGGGCTGGCAACTCCAGGTGACTCACAGGTGACCTTGGGCAGGAACTTTCTCCCCCCCCCCTATTAACACCACCTCCACACCCCCCACCCCACCCACCACCCCCACACCGCCACCACAATCAACCCCAGAAAGGGCTGAAATTGCACACGAAGAAGCAATTACCTACTTAATTCAAGAAAACACACTAATTAAAGACATAATTGCAAAACAAAATATACTCGAGCTGACAATTAACAAGTTACAAGAGACTCAACAGGAACGTATACACTTACTGCAGGAGCCGGGCTCACCAGAG